TGCCTCTTCTTGCGCAGGGCCGAGTCGCGTCCTCCTTCCTCTGCGCCATTCTCGATCGGCGAGCGGCGGGGCAGGGGGTGCTGGTTCTGGCGCCAGGGCGACGTGCTCACGGGCCAGTACCTCGATTGGTCGTAGCCGTCGCCCTGCTGCACGGCGCCGCCTGCGCCGTACGTGATGCGGTCCGCCAGCCTGTTGAAGATCTGATCGACAATGTCGCGCGTCGACCGCGGGGCCAGCTCAGCGCCCGTCGAGGCGGTAAAGGGGGCGGCATCGGCGGGACGCGCGCTGGCGCAGAGCACGACCAGGAAGACCGCCAGGGTCCCCAGCCACGCTACGCCGCGCAGGCGGCCCGTCGCGCCTTGGTTCTTGCGAGAGGGCTTCATGGTCGTTTTGCGCGTCGAAAGGCAGGCCGACGTTGAAGCGTTCACCCTCGGTGTTCGATATGGGCGGGTGGATTCCAGATCCCCCCTTGTGGTTCCTCCTAGTCCGAAAGGGGACGTTGTTAAAAGCCGAGAGTGCCGAATGGGCCCCTTCCTCTGTCGAAGAGATCCAGTTCGATCCGCCAGGGAAAGATGGATAGAGATAGACAAGAAGCGGATGGGTCGGCGACGGTCGAAGCGAAAGAAACAAGCGACTCTCCCCTCAAGCGATGGCGACACGACGCAGCTTGTCCGTCGATCGATTTGCGCTTGCAGACCAGCTGTCAAAGGGGGGCGAGGTCGATACCGGTGTCGTCTCGTCGCAAGCAAGCAACGGAGGCGGCGGCGAAGAGAAGGTAAAAGGGGGGCGAAACGAAATAGGAAGAGAAGGGGGGGGAGTGCGGGGCTTGCCACTCGATGGAACCGGTCCTGGAGGAAGGGAAGAGAGAAGCAAAGAGGGCGGATCGAGGCGCCTTGTTGAGCGTTTCCCACGGCCGCCTGGCAGGCCCCATTCCCCGCCGGTCGGCGACGTAGATCCTCGCTCATCACAGCCCTCGCCCGCTCTCCCGCAGCGGCATGGCGGCCGTCGATTGCGCTGGCATCGCAAAAGGGGGCGCGTCACTCGGTCCCCCCCCCCCCCCCCCCCCTCCCCGACTGACATGTCGCGTCCCGCAGTCGCCCACCCTGCCAGTCTTAATGTGTTATATAACGTTCAATTCCGGGGATTTGCATCGAAAGGGGGTTTAGATCAGCGGTAGATCGTTGCTTTCGCATGCTCAAGCTTGTGCTTCCTTCGCATGAAGGTGCCTGCTGAGAGGCAAAGGTCGTGGGTTCAATCCCCACAGTCTCCATTACCTTTTGCATTTTTCTTGGTTGTCCTTTTTCCTTCTTAATTGTCCTTTTTGGCGGTCTTCTTCCTCGTCCTTCTGACGCGGTGAGATAGGGCGCCGCTGCGGGAAGGCTGTCGGCTCGTCTTTCAGGCGAGGCAAGGCGGGCGGGGGACGATGATGATGAGAGAACCAAGGTATGGGTTGGACCACAACTACGAGGGCCCCCCCCGCTCGGCGGCGGCGGGGTGGGCACTGCTTGACAATGACTCTAGAATACATGTGCTGGCTGGGGGAGGGGACGGCGGCGGTGTGGGAATGCAGGGATGCTGTTGGAGCACGGCAACGGGAGGGGGGTTCGTATGGACGGACGGACGGACCAGGCTGGCAGCGGAAGGAGCGTCTACAGAGGCCAAGGGGGCCGTCGTTGGAGCGGCTAATTGGCGCTCAGAAAAACGACCGGCCAAAGGCGCCGGACTCGGTGTTGCTGGGCTTGGGGCTGACCTCGAGGACCGAATAGTGGATCAGGTTGAGCGCCTGTGCGGGGGGCAAACGGCGAGGAGAGAGAGAGAGGGAGAGAGAGGGAGAGAGGAGGGAGAGAGAGAGAGAGAGAGAGAGGAGGAGAGAGGAGGAGAGAGAGGGAGAGAGAGAGGAACGAGTCAGCCGTCGGTCCTCGGCATCTCGCGCAACGATCAGAGGCCCGGCCAACCCACCTTGACGGCCAGCTTCTCGTGGAGGACGCACGAGATGTTGATCTCGCTGGCGCCCTGGCTGATCATTTCGATGTTGACGTTGCCCTCTGCCAGCACGGTAAACATTCTGCCGGCGACGCCGACCATGTTGCGCATGTGGCGGCCGACGAGGCTGAGGATGGCCATGTCGCGGAGGACGCTGACGGTGCCGACCTTTTGCAGCTCGGCCTTGAGCTTGTCGAGGGTGCGCGGGCGGATGCCGGCGGCCATGGCCATCGAGACATGCACCTCGGACGTCGAGATGAGGTCGACGACGACGCCGTACTTGTCGAGCGTGCCAAAGATCTTTGCAAAGAAGCCGTGGCTGACCGTCTTGCGGTTCGAGTGGACGTTGAGGACGAGCACGTCGTCCTTGATGGTGACGGCCGTCGGCAGCTTGCGCTCGGCGCCGTGGACGGGCGTGGTGGCGAGGTGCTTGCCCGCGGCGCCCCACGCGCCAAAGTTGGCGATGCTGGCGCTCGGCGTGAGCGGGGGCCGGGGCTGGTCGACGTGGCCGTCGACGAGCTTGTCCTTGGAGCCGTCCTGGCCCTCGGGCACGTCCGGAAAGATGACGGTGCCCGATCCGCCCGGGTTCTCGACGTTCTTGATGCGGATCGGGATGGCCTTCTTGATGGCCTGCTCCATGGTGAACGGGTGGATGACCTCGCTGCCGTAGTAGGTCAGCTCGGCCGCCTCCTCGGGCGTGATGGACGGGATCAGGCGCGCCGTGGGCACCTTTCTCGGGTCGGCGGTAAAGACGCCGTCGACCTCCTTCCAGATCTGCAGCTCCTGGGCGCCCACGCCGACGGCGCACAGGGCGGCGCAGAGGTCGGTGTAGCCGCGGCCGATCTGGCTCAGCAGGGAGCCGGGCACGTTGCCAAAGTAGCCCGTCACCACGGGCACGCCCTTGCACGCCTTGAGGCGCTCGCCCAGCGCGACGCTGAGGCTGTCGTAAAAGGACTGGTCCAGCGTAAACTCGCCCTGGCTGTCCTGGCCGATGTTGGCGACGAGCGCCGGATCGACAATGTTTTCGAGCGTCACCAGCTCGGCCTCGACGCCGGCGTCGCGCAGCGCGCCGACGGCGATGCGGCACGAGAGCTTCTCTCCGACGCCAATGATGACGTCCTTGGACCTCGGCGAGATCTCTTCAATGATCTTGGCGGCCATGAGAAAGTCGCGCAGGCGCTCGCAGTCCTCGACAATGTCGCGCTCGAGCTGCTCCCTGAGCTCGAGGTCCTTTGCGACGGCCTTGCGCACCGACGCGATGTGGTCGGAGAGGATGCGGTCGACGGTGGCATTGTAGCCGACGGCGGGGGCGGCGGCGGTAGCAACGGCCTCGGTGTCGGACGAGTCGGACGAGGTGCCGTTTTCGGCCGGCGGCGCGGCTGGCGAGGCCGTCGCCTTGGTGAGCTCGAGCTGCGCGAGCTTGTTGTCGAGCGCGACTGCGCTCAGGCTCTCTGGCTTGGCGGAGCTAGCTCTCGAGCTTGGTCTGCGCGCGAATGCGGATCCGGGGCGGTGGTTGGGGGTCTGGGTGCCGTTGGTGAGGGATGCGACCGAGTTGGACAAGGAGCCCGAGGGGGTGGCCGCGTCGTCGCCGCAGAGGGCCTCGGTGGCGGCCTGGAGGAGGAGGTTGGTGGTGCCGAGCGCCTTTGTCTGGCCTGACCTGGCCGAGCATACGATGGCGACCTTGTGGTTGGTGGCCATGTAGGCCGGTACGATTTCTGATGCGATGCGTTCGAGGAACTTTCCGACGCTGGTGCCACCGTACTTTTGGATGATCCATTGCGCCTTGGGATCATCCGGGGGCGAGCGCAGGTGCGTGGTCGGCGGCATGGCGGCGGGCGTTCCGGGAGCAAGGTGCGAGTGGGGGGAGGGGGGATTTGGGTGCGGCGTCGGCGGGCTGTGCTAGAGCAGAGACGATCCAGGGGCAGCAACTTGTGGGTATCGAGCCGTGTGCGGATGAGCCGGCGTTGTCGTTGTCAGGGCGTCGCCAAGGTGGGCTTGATGATGGCGGTCGGGAGCGTGCCGATGGTGTTGGTGACGATGAGGCTGGAGAGTGATGGATGGAGCCGGACGAGGAGCAATGACAAGACGGGACCGCCGACGGCCCCATCTGCCCCACCTCGTCCGGAGGGCCCGCAGGCCAGCGCCGCGTGTGACTCGGAGACAGGGCCGAAGAAGAACGAGATGCACGCCGCCGTGGCTTTGCGTGCGCGTGCAGCCAGCATCAGCAGCAGCAGGTAGTTCGAGCAACGAGCGGTCCTCGGGGCCGATTCCCGAGCCCTCGGCGTTTGGAAGAAAAAAGTTTGGTTCGCCGCTCGCCCGCTGGCCAGGCAGGGCGGGCTGCTCCACCTCGCGCTTGCTTTCAGGCAGGCCAGGCCTGACTGCTGCTCGCCGCTGGGGTCTCCACACCTATCCTCACCACCATCCTCCCACCGAGCCGCCACCTCTGAGTTCTGTCGTACCCCAACCACCCCCGCCGCGCATCGACACCAGCGTGCTCTCTCAACGATAGAGAGGAGGCACCCTCTCCGAGCAGACCGCCACGATTCCGCTGCCACGTCTGTTGGCCGTGGCTGCCCTCGTCCGAACCACCTGCTTCTCTTCCACGACTGCCACCGCCTCAACGCCTCGACTCTGCCCGCCCGCCCTGACCCGGACGCATCTCGCGCTTTCACATAGCATCGCGACCATGCCCGAGGCTGTCGCGGTCCCCTCCGCCACTCAGCCCGGCAAGCAGGCTACCAATGGCACCTCCGCTGGCGGCCTGCCCGTGGTCGACACCATCCCGGACCTCGACAGCTTCCCGCCGACGGGGACGCCCATCCACGACAAGCTCGCATCCTGGGACTTTTACCGGTCCATGGGCTCGCCCAGGCGCGTCGTGGCGCCCATGGTCGACCAGTCCGAGCTGCCCTGGCGCATCCTCAGCAGGCGCTACGGCAGCGACCTGGTCTACACGCCCATGATCAACGCGCGCCTCTTTGTCGACGAGGCGAGCAAGAAGAGCAGGTCAAAGTACCAGGAGGTCAACTTTAACCGCAGCTGCGGCGAAGAGGGCGCAGAGGTCATCGACCTCGCCAACGGCAGCGAACAAGACCGGGGCGAGGGCAGCTCCACCGACACCGACCGCCCCCTGCTCGTCCAGTTCTGCGCCAACGACCCGCAGACGCTTCTCAAGGCCGCCGAGGTCGTCCAGGACCGCTGCAATGGCGTCGACCTCAACCTCGGCTGCCCGCAGCACATTGCGCGGCGCGGCCACTACGGCTCCTTCCTCATGGAGGACTGGCCGCTGATTTTTTCGCTGATCAACATCCTGCACATCAACCTCAAGGTGCCCGTCACGGCCAAGATGCGCGTCTACGACAGCGTCGAAAAGACGATCGCCTACGCGCGCATGCTCGAGCGCGCGGGGGCGCAGATCATCACCGTCCACGGCCGCACCCGCGAGATGAAGGGCCACAAGACCGGCCTTGCCGACTGGCAAAAGATCCGCGCCGTCAAGCAGGCCGTCAAGGTGCCCGTCTTTGCCAACGGCAACATCCTCTACCCTCGCGACTGGCACGACGCCATCGAGACGACCACCGCCGACGGCGTCATGAGCGCCGAGGGCAACCTCTACAATCCGGCCATCTTTGCCGACCCGATGCCCGCAGAGGCCACGCCCATGTTCCCCATGGCGCCGGCTCTGCCCTTTCCCAGCATCACGGCCATGGCCAACGAGTACCTCGACATTGTCGCTGCGCTGCGCACCCCGACGGCCGGCAGCGCCATCAAGGCGCACTTCTTCCGCCTCTGCCGGCCCGCGCTCGAGGTGCACCGCGACCTGCGCGAGATGCTGGGCAAGTCGCGCTTCGATCCGTCCAAGGCCGGCGAGGCGCGCATCGAGAGCTACCGCGCCTTTATCGCCGAGCTGGAGCGCCGGCTCAAGGTCGACCGCGAGAGCGGCAAGTACGACCAGCCGCTCGAGACGCCGCTGCCGGGCAGCGTGTCGTTCCTCGCGCCGCCGCCGGTCTCGGCCGACGGCAAAGAGGTCGAGGACGCGCACAGGCCACGGTACATCCCACACTGGCTGGCGCAGCCGTACTTCCGACCGCCGCTGCCGGTCCAGGAAGGCGAGGCGGGCGACGAGTCGAGGAAAGCGCGCAAGGAGAGGGTCAAGGAGACCAAGGGCCTGACGGAGATCCGAGACATCCAGACCGAAGGCGAGGAGAAGCTCGAGAAGCAGGAGATGGATCTGGCCAAGGCGGAGAAGGAGCAGGGACAGGGGCAGGACCAGGGCCGGGACCAGGCTGCAACAGCGAGCCGACCGAGATCAGAAAATGGCGACGCAGCAGCAGCAGCGACGACCGCAGACGGCGCGGCACGTCCAGAAAAGAAGGCGCGGGTGGATTAAACGGCGTCCGGGTGGCCCCCGTCGGCAGTCCAAGAGTGCAGTACATAGCCAACGGTCGGCCGCGGAGGAAGAGCGGTCCAATCGCTCGTCGAATGCACATCGCACACTAGCGTGTTGGTCACAAGGCCCGTCGGTCGACTGGAACGCGGCGTGTTTCATCTGGGTGTGGTGCTGCTGCCAAAGCGTGGGGATGGTTCTTTCCAGAGTGCCAGACGGACGAAAACCAGGCGATGCGGCAGGTCGAGGGCCATCTACTGTACGCTCGCGCCACCAAGTTGGCGGTGTGGGTTGCTTAGCTCGCCCCCACTGTTCTCCCCGCATTTTAGCGGGACTGGGGCGCCAGGACCTCCTCGCTTCTCGCCTCTAGCACGTCCACATACCATGTAATGTACAAGGTGTGCCTCCTCGCGAGCATCTTGGACAATGCGGGGCGTCTCTTGACCTCAGGAGTGAGGTCGTGGTCAATGGGCAGCAAAGGAGCTTCTCTGTACGCGCGCTCGGGCTGAGCGATTCGGAGCGTCTGTGCGCGCGTTACGTCCGTCCGTCCGTCTGTCCCTCGTTGCGCCCGAACTCTATCCGGAGCCTCATTTTGTCGAAGGAGCAAAGCCTCGGTTGCAAGGGTCCCAAAACCTCAACCGGCGGTCTCTACACAAAGGCTGATGCGACAACCACCTCGCCGCCTTACTCGATATCCAAGATGCTCTCCGTTCCAATTCTTATTCTCGGCCCGTCTCGTGCAAGGCGTCACTCGCCGAGGGCTTGACTTGGAGCCTACGAAGGTGATGGGCGGTCGAACAGGCGTAGGAGGGTGCGGGCTGTGCGCGCACGACAGAGGAGTCGAGACGGGCCCGTACGCGCACACGCTACCCACCACTTGGGCAGTTAAGCGAGCCACTTCAGGGGCAAGCTTGCCGGGCAAACGGACGTACCGCCGCCTTCGGAACGAACGGAAGATTTCCGCCTTTTCTTTCTCTGCATCCCTCGCAACCTATGTAGCTACTGCCGGCCCCAGCCTCGGACGACAGCGGCTAAAGGGTTCCAGCCGATCGCCTACAAGCCATTCTGTTGTCGATGCTGTGCCCTCGCACGGCGGAGGTCCCGCTCAGGGCAGGATCAGAGTCAGGTGCTTCGGCGACCTTTGAACGGAGGTCTCGAAGCGTGGCGCACGCTCAGGGGCTTGCAACCTGAATGAATCTTGATCTCGCCGTCCTCTTGCCTGCCTTCAGGAAGAGCGACGAGCAAGCCGTGCGGGACTTCTCCACGAGAAGCGCAGCAGCGTCGCATGGAGGCGCTAACGAAGGGGCTGCCATGGATGCGGAGATCGTATGACCTGTGTCGAATAGGATACGGGCGAAAGGTGTTCGTCGAGCCAACGACTACATGTATAGTTACAAAGCAAAGGAAGGGACCATGCCCTTGTCGACAAGCAGGAGATGGTCGGTTAGCCTTGACTCAGGCGAGGGCGTCGATACATGATGGTCCCCACCGGTCGACCACCGAGTCGTCCTGGTCGGACAGCTCCGTGCTTCTTGGGCCATCTTGTTCGCCGCCTTTCGAGGCTCTTGCTCGTCGAGCCCAGTCTCAGTTTGGTCCGGGGAAGCAAGCGCTCGATCCTGATCGTCCATGATGGACTTAAGGGAGCCTCGAGAGCAAGCAGGCAAGCAAGCACCTGCAATCTCCTGCCGTGTAGATGGACGGTCAACACCGACCAGGCACCCTGTTTCGAGCACCGCCCGCTGGCCGCTCAGGTCCCATGCCTCCTCGCAGCCCATGCTCGAAGCCACAGGGGCTACCTGCTGTGCCGGCCGCGGGATCTCCATCGCCATCCTCGGGCCACCGGTCAAACCGGCAAGCCGCGCCAAGGAGGCAGGACCGATGGAGAGTGCGCTCGTCTGCCTCTGCTGAGCTGGTCGCGAGCCGTATCGATGGTGCAGGAAAGATGCAGGCAAGCCAGGTAGGCTCTGGCCTGGGCTGACCTTCCCAATCGGGTCCCTCAGGGCAGGCCTGCTGCGCTTTGCTATGTATGTATATGCGCCAGCCTCCGCCCGCTTGCTATCCGAACTCGCGGATGCTTTTTGGCGGGTCTCAGTGTTGTTCTCGCCTACGAGAGGCGGCATCAGCCGAGCGCGCGGCGCGGCCCGCCCGCTGCCTGGATGCTTTCTGGGTGCACAGCGGTGCTCTGGTAGCCGTGTGAGCCTTTCTCGCTCTACACCTTCCCGCGACCTCGTCGTCGAGATCAGCTTTCGCCATCCCCTACTCATCGGCCAAAGCCGTTGTCACTTCGTTGAGGATTCGCAAAGACTTCGGAGCATCCGGCGACGACGGCGATGCACGATCTTCTTCCCTCCGCTTTGAGACGGGGAAGGCATCGAACCGGGAGCCCCTGTCTTGTGGCGGAACGGAGAACCGAGCACGCAGGCAAGCAAGCAGGTGTTTGTCGGTCTCTGCTGTCGGAGGCAGGATCGGCATCAAACGATCGGCTGCCGTCGATCCCTGCGTGCTGTTCTGCCGGGCTGCCGGGACATGGGGACGGCGGTCGGTGTGACTTTTTGATTTTTACTTTGGAGCTCCGAAGGTGGTGGTGGTGGTGGTGGTGGTGAAGGTGGCGGTGATGGTGCTGCTGCTGCTGCTGCGTCCCTGCGCCATCTCCGACGTGCGGCTGCGCAATGTCAAAGGTCAGACTCAACTTCTAAGTCCAACAATCGGGTCAGCGTCTTCCCCATCCGGCACCGCCGCCTTCGACGTCGCACCCACGACGGCTCCGCTCGCCTTCTTCCCACCCCTGTTTCACGAAGGTGACACCGTCGTCGACGGCGCGGCAAAGCTTGGCGGGTTCGGTCCGGGCCGGACGTGCGGTGAGCGTCAAGCAAGCTCGAGGTGACCGCGCCAGGTTGCGGCGCGATTTGACTCTGGCTCCATCGACCGCTTCTCACGGAGAAACGAAGGGTGCGGTGCACATGATGTCGATTCCCGCTTCGCTCGGATCGTGACCCCTCTGGTACCACATCGCGCCCGAACCTTGCCGGACTCTGTCACAGAAGACACCGCGCCATGCCACTGCAGCGACAGCTCCGACGCTTGGCATGGTCATCGAAGGTCCGGTCGTCGTAGATGCGAAGACCCGTCGGCGGTAGATGGATCCATGAGCGCCAAGAAGGCGACGACCCCGTCGACGTCAGCCAGCCGGACCTGTCAGCATCGAAGCCCTTGTCCCAATCTCGTCGTCAGTGACTGTCGAGAAGAACCCGCAGAGAAGGTCGAGGCCATCTGGTTGTGCCAAGCTCAAAAAGTACCTGTGTAGATGCCAATCCGGACGTGACCTGACTCGGACGTAAACATCTGACCAGCATCCGCGTGGGCAGAGTTGGCGCGCCATCGCGCGGCGGAGATGTCCAGGAGTTCTCGAGCGGGTGCTTCGAGATCTTGTCAAGCAGCAAGACCACGTACCACTCCATCTCCCAACGTCCATCCGGGGACGGAACCTGTCCGACTTCGCGCCACGCTGGTCGGCATCCTGCAAAGGAAGGGCTTGGCGCTCGTGTCGGACGAAGGCAGCGGTGCCTTCAGCTCAGACAGTGACTGAGGATAGTAGGAACAGACATGTGGCATGCGCTCACCGCCTCTCGAAGGGACTACTCAGTTCTGTGCTGGGGATGGGATGGCGTACTTGAGGGGAGAGACGTGGTCGTACGAGGGTCTCGCGACAGCCAGCCGCCGTTCTCACAGGTGTCGGCCCTGCTCCGATTCCAGCCCTCACCCAGGATTTCCGCCGCCATGCACACGCGTACGGCCCTGCCGGCCTGCATCAGGACGAGGATCCAGGCAGGGTTGTCACGGCAAAAGCACTCGCCCGCCGCCTGCCGCCGCCTTTCCAAACCTGCCACTTCGAGATCAACACGAGGCGCGCACGCACCTGTACACCTGTCCGGCCCTCTTCCTCACCTTGCTCAGCGTTCTCGACAAGCCTGTGCTAACGAGCGGCGGAGCACGACAGAGCTTGGGACCGCTGCTCGGTCCTTCACTCTGCCATCAGCGCGAGGCCGCGGCTCGCATCCCAAACGATGTCTGCGACGGGAGGTTGAGATGTGTCGGAGCAGGCGTAGAAGGCTGGACACGCCATCGACACCGGGCGAGGCCGAAGGCAAGCAAGGACTGAGGAGGCTGGTCTGCTGCCCTCCTACTCCAGGATCGACCAAGACTTGACCCAGACCCGGGTCCCTTGGGGTCGAGCATCGCTTTCCGCCTCGCCTCTCCGTGAGTGCCCTGCTCCCTTCTGGCTGCTCAAGGACCTGGCCGTGCTCCCGCCGCCGACGGTGAGGTCCCCGACGACGTCGATGCATTCGCATCTGCATCGTCACCTTGTCCTCTATAGCCGGGGTTCAACTTCCGATGACCACAGCCAAGGCAAGCAAGGCAGCCAAGGCTTTGCCAAGCTCTGCCTCTAGCTCGACCGACTGTCTACACGCACACGCACACGCACACGCCACCACCTTGCCCGCTGATTGTAAGCTCGTCTGCTGATGATCCGCACTTGAGGCCCAGCGACGCTGCTCAAGCTCTTCCTCTCCCCTTCACGGCTCTGCGCCTTCCCGCTGCTGCTCACTCCGCCTGTCCCTGCCCCTCCCGCCGCCGCCGCCGTAAGCGCTGTTCCGTCGTCGTCGGCCCAGGGCAAACTCCGCTGGGTGGCTCTGGCCCCGTCGTCCTAGCTTGCCCCTGTTGCCTGACCTTCGCAAGCAGATGGCACACGGGAGCTGCTGAGGCCATCCCATCCTTCTCAGCCTCCTGCCCTTCAAGCGGGCGGAACGGTACTGCGTGCCTTTCAACACCAGCTGCACCTATGTTGCAGCGACGTCGCCCTCGCTTCACACCCCGCTCGAGGAGAGGAGCAGCTCGTATAAAGAAGCTCTCCGGTCACTCGAGGTCGTGTTCTTCTTCTCCATCGATCCTCTCACCCCTTCCCTGGCCACCTCTCCTCCCCTGCCATCCCCTCGTCCCGCCCTGCCCTGCCCTGCTCTTGCCCTAATACACCCACCGCACCTACGCTACGCCTGCTACTGCCATACCCACGATACCCCCCTGCTCGCTGCTTCTTCATCTTCTTTGCCGCCGACATCGAGCCCTAGAAGCCACGTCCTAGACGCCTCTTGCGCTCATCGACGCTCTCACACCACCGGGGCCGCCACAGGATCGCCACAGGATCGCCACAGGCCTCCCCGCATACACACATCACCATGCGATTCACCACACTCAGCCTCGCCGCGCTGGCGCTGGCCGTCTCGGTGCCCGACGTCGAGGCCATCCCCGCCGTCAGGCAGTACCGCGGCGTGTCGCGCTACGCCGGAATGTACCAGCCCGAAGTCGAAGCGCCGCAGCTTCGCAACCCGCGCGAGGTCGAGGGGATGCGCACCATGCGGCTCAGCAGCAACTCGATGGTCGCCGACACCTACCTCGACGAGCTGCACTACGTCGACGCGGACCAGAAGAGCACCGACGAGTCCATCTTCTGGAACAACGTCAAGGGCCGCCTCGAGACGGCCATCAGCAAGCTCGACCGCATCACGTCGATGCTCGGCGTCGGCAACTCGCCCACGCTCTCCAAGGCCTCGAGCCTGGTCCAGGGCGCTGCGCAGAACCTCGGCTTCAGCTTCAGCTTCAAGAATCAGAACGGCGACCAGCACGGCGGCGCCCCGGACTTTTCGTTCGAGTTCCACAGCAACCGCAACGCCTCGGACCCACTGCGCTGGGGAGACGAGGCGAAGCTGGCCTCGTGCATTCGCAGCGGCGCCGTTGACTGCGAGGCCCACGCCGCCGCCAAGATGCCGAACCTGCCCCAGGACTCGGGCTTCGACTACAACAACGCCAAGGTGCGCGGCGTCAACATCGGCAACTGGCTCCTCTTCGAGGGCTGGATGTCGAGCGCGCTGATGCGCTCGCTCAACAGCCACGCGATCAACGCGCCCTTCCCCAACCCCATCATCGACGAGTGGACGGCGGGCCTGTACAGCGACTACAATTGGGCCTCGTACGTGCTCACCAAGCACTTTGACGAGTGGATGACCGAGGCCGACTGGAAGGCCATCGCCGACGCCAACCTCAACCACGTCCGCATCCCCGTGCCCTACTTTATGTTTGCCGAGGCAAAGGGCCCCAACGTGCCCTTCCTCACGCTCAACCGCTTCGCCAAGCTCAAGGAGGGCGTCAAGCTGGCCAAGAAGTACGGCCTCAAGGTGTGGATCGACCTGCACTCGGTGCCCGGCTCGCAGAACGGCTACGACAACTCGGGCAAGTCGGGTCCGGTCAACTGGGCCAACAACCCGCGCTACTACACCCAGACCCAGTACGCCTTTAACCGGCTCGTCACCGAGTTTACGCAGCCCGACTACGCCGGCACCGTGACGGCCATCGAGGCGGTCAACGAGCCGCACGGCAAGCAGAACGGCAAGGTCCAGGAGCTGCTCAACCAGTACTACCCGTGGGCGCGCAACAAGGTGGCCAAGCCCGACGGCTTCAAGGACTACTCGAACATGCTGCTGGCCGCCCACGACGCCTTCCAGGGCCTCCAGTACTGGCAGAACTTCTGGACGGGCCGCGCCCGCCACCGCGTCCTGCTCGACACGCACCCCTACTTTGTCTACAGCGACGAGCAGAAGCGCAAGAAGGACATCGCCCGGCTGCAGGAGGTGTGCGACCTCGAGAGCAGCTTTGTCCAGAGCCAGAAGTACTACCCCTCGATTGCGGGCGAATTCGGTGTCAACGGCCCCAGTGGCGACCGCGCCTCGGACCGCGACCTGCCCGTCGGGCCCGTCAAGTTCCCGCGCGGGCCCGACTACCCGTACTCGGTCAAGTACATGGCCTTTATGGCGCGCAACTTCCGCACGCAGCAGTACGTCTACGAGAAGGGCGCCGGCTGGATCATGTGGAGCTGGAGGAACGACGAGGCCCTCGACTGGTCCTACCAGGTCGGCCTGCAGTACGGCTGGATCCCAAAGGACCTCGACGCCAAGCCCTACGGCAACAACCCCTGCAACCTCGGCGCGCTGGCGCGACAGGCCCAGGCGTCCGACTTCGACGCCGAGTGGGACGAGTACGAGCGCAACCGCGACTACTACTGAGCCCTCGGCCCGCCGTTCGGTCACCGTCCTAGCATATACCACGCCCCGTCCCGTTCCGTACCGTACCGTACCACCGCACCGTCCCATCTGATCTGATCTGATCTGATCTGATCCGATCCCAACGTTCTGCAGCTACGCCAAGCGACTCTATCTGGTCTCCGTCGAGCGGTCCGGCGGCTATTTTTATCCCACCAACGACCCTGGAAGCGACGACGATGTTGACGAAGACAACGAAGCCAGCCCGGCCCAGCTGTCCTCCCCCCCCCCCCTTTTAGCTCTAGCACGCATCCTCGATCCGGTCCGGCCATGTCGCCACCCCGTCCTTTGTCTTATATCTCGTGATCATGGCCTGTAATCCAAGGAAGTCGTGTTTTCCCTTCTGTCGTGGTGCGTACGGTTGATCGGAAGATCTGAGGCTGGACAAGAGGCCGTTCGCTGGGCCACACTGCTCTCCGACGTCGACAGGGCCGGCGCATCTTGCCCGACCGAGGCAGCCTTTCACGACGGATATCGAGGCGATGTCAATTGCACTCGGAAGGAACGACGACGGCAGCGCCCTGGCTAGGCACAGAGCGAAACGGCATCCCTAGTCGTCGTTCCAGTAATCGTCCTCGTCGCCGTCACCTTCGTCGATCCAGCGGCCGTTTTTATCCTTCCTCCGCCTCCCGCTCGATGCGCCAACGACGCCGACGCCGACAGATTCCCTCTGCTGCTCGGCGAAGCCGAGGATGGGTTTCTGGTTGCGTCGCGGGTCGACGATGCCGGACTGGCCGAGTCTCCACTCGAGGGCGCCCGTCGTGAATCGGTCCGAGTTGCCGAGCTCCTCGAACCCGACCATCTTGTCCTTGCTGACGCCATCGCGGAACGTGACGATGCAGGGCAGCACCTTGATGCCGAGCTTGGCGGTGAGAAAGGGGCAGTTGAGCACGTTGGCGCGCAGGAAGAGCGTGTCCGGGTGCAGGCGCGCCACGACTTCGAGGTGCCGGTCGAGCAGCTTGCACCGCTCAAACGAGGCGTGGAAAAAGTGGATGGCCACCCGCGCCTCTTGCGCCGAGAGGTGGATCAGCTCCTTTTCGTGGCTGATCTCCGTCAGCTTGCCCCGCAGCGCGTACGACGACGAGTTCTGAGACGAGCTCGACGTGCCCTGCTTGCGCCGCGCCAGTCTGCCAAAGGGGAGGGCCAGAGATGAGAATGAAAGCACGTGTGGTGAGTAGACCACCCCGGTGCACTCGAAAGCAGGGCGACGCAGCAGCACAGCAGCGACGACGACGACGACGACGACTCACTCTTCGCGGATCTCAAGCATCCTCCTCTCCCTAAACTCTGCCATATCGAACCCACCCACCGCCTCCTCATCCCGATCCCCCACGACATCGTCTCGGAGGAACCCATCGACATCCTCGGCACCTCTTCCCACCCACTTGCCCGTCGTCTTGCCCTGCGCCGCCGAGGAGCCGGGGTAATTGCGTTGGTCGTCCATCGCCTCGACCTCCCTCTCGAGCTCGGCGAACAACGCCTCGTCATCGTCCTCCTCGCCCTCCCCCTCGCCGTCGTCGTCGTTGTGACGGTGCAAAGACGATTGGACATAGGTCGGGAACGAGGCTGTGTATTCCTCCTCTTCTCGTGTGGTCGACGTGGATGCGTCCTGAGGTTGCGAGGGTGTGGACGCTTCGTGGGTAGTGGGCATCGAGCCTGGATGCCCGGACATGGCGGCTGCTACTGCTGATGGGTCCATGGTCGTGCTCTCCGTAAGTGATGGTCGCTGGTGCTGTGGCGCGGAGTTGGCTGGTGAAGAGGGAGAAGGGTAACCCGTGATGGTGGTCGAAGATGTCGCGGCAGCTACATCCCAAAAAGACCAACACGCAGCGCCTCGCAGCGGGCTGCAGGCCTGGCAGCAGGCCGAGCCCTTTCTTCGCGCGCGCCCGCTCAAGCCCGTGCACCGCGCGCTGGCCCCGACTCCCGAACCTCGCCTCGCCTCGCCTCGCCTCGCCTCATACACTTCTCCGGCGGCCCCAACCGACATCTTCCACTCCTCTCGCCAAATCTCCAAGCAGTGACCAGCCAGGGGGGGCATCTTTTGCATATAAAAGAACTCGTACATCTCGAGCGCTGAGCCGAGCCGGCGGGCTCACGAAAGAAGCGGCGCAATTGGCGCTTCACCACGACGTCGGGCCCGGTCCGAAGCAGGTGGTCGCACGCTGCTTTTCTTGCCTGGACTGACAGCCGAAAGGCCGTTCCTCACGCGGCCAGGCTCTTGAAGTCAAAGGTCGTACCCTTGCTCGCACCGCTCGGATACCTGTGTTGGGACGCCGAGCTGGCGTTGAAGGTGCGCGGCGGAGGGAACGCCGACGACGGCGAGAAGCTCAGCGAACCAGAGTGAGGGGGCGGAGAGGGGACTGGAGACATGGCAAGGTTCAGGAGAGCCAAAGTCAGTCTCCGAAGACACGGTCTGCATCTGTGAAGGCACTCGACGGTTTGCCCGCCTACTCACCTCGGCTGACGGCCGATGCTCCGTTGGGAGCACCAGAGAAGCTGCTGCTGGTCGAGATGGGCGGTGCAGCGACGGGAGGAGGAGGAGCACGGCTCGGCGGCGCTGCAACCGCCGCGGGCGAGGGGGAACTGGGCGCTGGAGGAGGCGGGACACGACTGGGCGGGGCAGCTCGACCAGG